AATAATTGGACAAACAACAAAATAAAATATAAACAAATAAAAACCAGAGTGTGATTGGTTATTTCTAATACAGCGCGTCCTTCCAAACCATCCTGTATTTCAGGACTTGAGCTGCATTACATCTGCAACCACTGTGTATCGTTCCAGTCTGTTTTTAGTGGAGGATGCGGTGAAGGTAGCGTTCAGAGTGTCTGGCACACTCCTGTCTCGCCACATCCAACCTCCATGAGGAGGGTTTGAAGGGATTTTGGTTCTCTAAGATGTCTTCCTCAGTCGCTGGCAGCAATTCTCCTGGACTGGGCGATGTGTCCGCCTGCTCATCCTCAACAGTGCAGCCAGATGATGAGTCCTGAATCCTGGAAGAGAAGTAACTCTGGATTAGCTGAACAGGCCTGCTGTGCATATTATAATTTGAGCACCTTAGACTACCTAACAATACTTTCCCACATAAAAATGCTGTTGTGGACCTGTTAAATGTGAGGTCTGGTTGTGTAAATTACAAACCGTTGACCTAATAAACATCAAACATGCACAGAACTAATTGTTATCCTGAGGTTATTTGTGTTGACATTAGCACAAAGTCGCAAATGTTTCTTTACAACCATAATTCCCCTAATGTGGGCATGGCTGTGGGAGAGCCAGATTTCTTCTTGTTAACTTTCACACGCATTTGCTGCCACCTTTGACCTTTGCCATTATTTTGCTCCAAATGAAATACACTTTTTAAAATAGAATTATGTTTTTATTTTAATTGTATATGAATATTTTTGACATCATGTCGAAGGCAAGAAGGAGGAGGGGGATGGAGGGCAAGTTAGACAAAACCTTACTATATAACAGAGCACAGACATTATGCTGCAGTAGTAAAGTTGGTGGCACTAAGAGTCTACAGCCACTCCAGCAGCTTTGAGGCTGTTTATATGGGCACAATGGTGCTTTGAGCTAAATGCTAAACATCAACGTGCTAACATGCTCACGTTTACGTTAAAGTGCTGATGTTGTGCAGGTATAATGTTAGCCATGTTCACCATCTTAGAGTGTCTGCATTTTTTTGTTTTGCAGGTATTTGTACTGTGGGGGATATTTAAAAAAAAGTCTGCACCAAATTTCATTGTAATCCACCCAATATTTATTGAGATATTTCAAACCTGTGGTCATACTGCTAGCTTGGTTAAAAAAAATTGTTGCATTTCACCATTTTTACACCGCCCCTGTAGACTCACACCACCATTTTACCATTCTGTGGCACTTCATTTACTCCTGCAACAAATCTAATTTTGTCTCAGTGAGGAATGTCGAAAGCAAAGCATGACAGTTTGTGTGTGTGTGTGTGTGAGAGAGAGACGGTGTGTGTGTGTGTGTAGTGGTATGCAGAGAGAGGAGGACACAGTCTTGTGAGGTCATGCTAAGTTTGTTAGGCACATGACAATTTATACATTGCATTTCAAGACAGAGAGAGAGTCTAGACTAAAGTATCTTGAACATTTAGAAGGTCAGATCATTGTTTATACCATCGTTAGAAGACAGTAGACAGATTAGGATCGTCCTCGTGCTCCTAATGGTTTTTGCATGAATCGACCGTGTTGAGTCTCATTACAAGGTTGTCAAATACCAAAGCCGGGAATGAAACTCAGCAATCAATTATCTTCAAGACGCCAAACCAAAGTGTCTTTGTATCTTTCTCGGCTCTGACTGTTTGTTTTGTTTCAGGCCCGGTGGATTCTTGCACATGCCATTAGGAGCACTAGGAGGAGCCAGAGGAACCCTGATTATCTGTCTCATGTACTACAGTCAGGATATAATGAAAGTTTCAGCAAATATGTCCATTTTTATAAAAAGTTACCTACTGCAGCTTTAACTCCTCAGCTACATATCACTTTTTATATCCTTTCTTTCCTTTTCTGCTGGCCTCTTGTCACTTACCTGAGATATCCTGATGCTTTGAGCCACTTGTGATCTCTGTGTCCTTCAACTCTGATGCCCGCTTTATTCCTTGCTCTGACTCGGAGCCCCACCAAGGCCTGGGCCAGCCCTGCCTCGTCCTCTCTCTCCTCCCCTTCCTCCTCCTTCGCCTCCTCTGCTCCCTCCACATCTGCATCCATCCCTCGCCAGACCAGCTTCGCCCGATGTTCTGCATCTCTGTCCCCTGCTGTTCGGAACAGCCTGTGCAGCTGGTGAAGGTTGACCCCTGAAAAGATGTTGGAGCATCCTGGCTTCCTGCTGCGTCGATTGGAAAATGTCCACTGCACAGGCAGACCATCCTCAGAGGAGGTGGACACTGGTGCCTCTGCCATGTAGAGAGGGTGGAGGGCAGTATCAAGGGGGAAGGTAAGATAAGCTGAGAAGGGGGAGAAAGGAAAGAGACCAAATTGATCAAAAAAAGAGCTAAAAGAAAAAAGCTCAATGCTCCAGTCAGTAGATACATTTCCATGGCTGCAGCCAAAAACCCTAATTACTTCAGCCACCCCTTCCTGTGTGAAGTCTTATCTTATCTTATAGGTCTTAAGTGTTTAGGGAGAGGTAACACACATGCATGTGAACACACTGGTGTATTGCAATTAAGGATAATTTTCATTATCAATTAAACTGCTATTTTCTTGATTAATCGTTTGAGCCTTAAAATGTGAGAAAACGTAAAATGTAAATGTAAAATGTAAAAAAACATCACCATTTTCCAAATCTCAAGTTGACATAATCAAAGTGCTTGCAGGGTCAGGGTCCGACCAGTAGCCACAAACTCAAAGAATATTTCAATCTAATATCATTGTGGACAAAGACAACCACAACATATTCACATTTGAGAAGCTGAAAAAGATTTTTTGAATTTTTTCTTTAAACAGATTGCAGATGATTTTCTGTCCATTCAATCGACTGACATATCCAAACCTGATGATGCTCATTTTTTAAATTCAGTTTAAGTGTCCTAGCTTTCTGTATCGATAAATTCGACCACACATATCCTTCTGACAGGATGGTTTGAGCCGTTAACTCAGCTATTTCATGACAAACTTACATTTTGGAGATATACGTTTTAACTAGACAATATACAAAGAGAAGGGAACCAGAGAGTTGCTCTGTGATTTAATCTAAGTTTGTTGTCTACCTATTCCTACAAGTGACAGGCTATTATTGGGATAAATAACATTGTGCTTAGTATGTTTTTGTTGGTATTTTTCAGTTTTTATGTCATACTGAAATAGCAAATAGCACCTTGCTCTCTTGTAACTGTCAATTAACATCTGCATTAACTAAATCAGCTCCCTAAAAAGTATCCTAGCTGTCTTGCAAGAAATAGGCTATAGGCTAAGTTTAGTTTACAGTACAGGTAAAAACCTTCAAATAATTTTTAAACACTGGTATAGTGTGTAGTAAAATGAGAGTGCTTACCTTCCCCTCTGCAGTTTGAATGAGACAAACTCATCTGCACCACCGGCAAACAGGCAACCAGATTATCTAACCAGCCTCCAGTCTACAACCTTCACACCAGCTAATGCTGAGCCGACCCACTTCCGACCTGGCACGTCAGTAGCGTGAGGCCTCAGGCGAACTTAAAGGAATAATCAAAGAGTAATCCATGAATGACGTCAGTGCTGAGGTGCTTACCTGAAAACAAAGAGCCCCAAAAAACAGTTCCACATAACAAACAAGCAGAGGCCAAGACAGACACCTGCTATTTAAAACAGTCTGGTTCCTAAACAGTTTCCTTAGCCTATAGTGTTTCATATTTAAGTATGTTAATCTGCAAACCAGTTGGTGCAAAGTAAGTACTAACTGTGTTAAAAGTATTTCCTTTGAATTGTAGTGGAGTAGGACTATAAAGTTAAAATAAAATAATTTGAAACTCTCAACAAGTTACTACACTGCATCAGGTGTTATTTAACAACATACTGTGTGTCTGACATTGTATCAATGGGAATTAACTTTATTATCCCAAATGCAGATTGGTTTGCAGTATGGCCACACACTGCAAACCAACCCTCTCTTCAATTCTATTTAAAGATCCAGTGTGTAACATTTAGGATCTATTGGCAGAAATGGAATATAATATTTACAGCTATATTCCCATTAGTGCACCATTAGTGCACCACTAAATGCCAGTAAATCATACACACTGGACCTTTAACTCTTCAACTGGATACCTGAATTGTTTAATTCACTGCCCGTCTTCATGTCTGTATCTAACAGTGCTTATAAAGGAGATTAATGGAGATATAGCTCTCCTACTGGGTGTGCTATTTAACCATCCGGCTCAGTGTTAGTCAAACTGAACCTTGCTGCTGATACCCAGTGCCTGTTGCCTGCATTGCATCACATCTTATACTGGCAGCTTTTTGTATATTTCTGTTTAACTAGCCTAGATTGATGATGAAGAATATATTTAATCTATATAACAAGTAGCCACCAGGTGGCACAATTTTAAAGATCAGTGTGTTACATATTTGAGATATTCAGACTGAAGCCTGAATGTAGTTTATTAACATAGAGGTAATATATATATATATATATTCTATCTATATATAGAGAATATATTTGTGTTCATTTGTATTATTATAATTTAAATAGGTGTGAAAAGAGTGAATCTTTATAAAATCCATTTGACCCCCTTTTAAAAACAGTCCATGACATTGTGGATATGAACTATATGAACGATGCACCATAACAACACAGTGTTATGCTTCTGGGGAGGTTTGACCTATGTGATGCAACTTCGTCAGTCAGTAGCCTACTTTAAAATTCATAAACAACACAATACTTTAAAAAAGCACTGAAACAATCAACAGTTTTAATAATCAATGAATGAAACACTGCGGTCGGCCAACATGTGACATATTATTTGACATTATCTGGACTAAAGTAATGTATGACATCATTAACGAGATACTAGAAACTATCTTAAATAACTGCTGATGAGAAGAACTGTCACACAGAACTTCACACATGGACGCTGACCTTATAAAAATCTCATTTGTTTTTTCCTACAGCGCCTGAAGGCAGCCCAATTACAATCAGACCAATTAGCAGGTGGACAGCTGCTTTAAAGCGCGCGGACCCTACCGACCCACCCAACGTCTCTCGCGGTGGTTTCTCCAGTCTCGAGCCTTTTTTCTTTCCAAGCCCAACATGTGTGTGCTGTCGGTCGGACTGCTGAGGGCCCCACGGGCTCTTGCTCCCAGGACGGGTGTACTGATTCAACAGCGAGCAGGTTATATCAATGGCAAACCACCTAAAGATAACATTGGTCCAGCGGTGAGTTCACAAGCGTTACGTTTTCTCTGCCATTTTGCCCTGTAGCTGTAGTCTAGACTCTAAAATGTTCGTTACAGCTGGTTTCTGATTGAATTTAATGACAGTAACATGTTAAATGCTCTACAGCAAACTGCCTTCGTGCTGGCTGTGATGAGTCTGGCCATCCTCGGACCTTCCGGTTGGATACTTTCCCACTTGGAGCATTATAAAAGCCGTGAATGATGGACGAGGCCCTGAAGAACCGCTGACACTTGTTAAAGACAGCATGCCTGCTGTTAAATCTGCCTTTTGAACCCTTTCAGACGTTTTGCTAACATAATAAACTTGAGTTTGTTCTCTCTTACTTTGTCAGTCTCTATTTCTTTAATAACTGCTGCAGTTCCGTTTTACACCACCAGGTGTCAGGAGCTGTCGGCGGAAGTGAAACCTCTGGATTTGCCATATAAACAGGCTGTGGCGCTACAAGGAATCCATAGCTAGGGAATCCTGTTGTCTGTAGCGAGTTATTATTTATTTTTTCTTAACCGAATCATTGCACATATTTAAGTGCCTTTGAATGCACCATGAAGCCGCAACTGATCGGGACCAAAAAGCGTCCGCCTGCCTTAAAACCATCCGGAGCCGAGGCTGTGCAGTCCCTGCAAGAGGAGCTTGTTGCAGCAATACATGGAGCATTTGAAGTGGCCGTGGAGATCGCAGTTCACGAGGTGACCAAGCTATTAGGTCAGGCGACAGGAGACGTCTATGAGGAGATGCGAAGGGAGAACGAGTCCCTGAAACAAAGACTGCAGAGAGCCGAAGCTCTGCTGGACTCTGCGCGCAGGGAGGAAAGAGAAGGCAGCTCTCCTCTTCCTTCAGAGCAGCCCCGCGATGGCTCCAACCACACACACCGGCCGCACCACCTTAAATACACTCAAATAAGCCCAAATCCAGAAGTGGGGGTCAGAGGTGATACTCCCCCTGCAGGTCAGCGCCGTGTAGAGCAGCCTCATAAACAGGAAGAGCAGACATCGGGCGATGATGTGATGACACAGCATGTCAGTGATGCTGCTCCAGACCCAGAGGAAAGTAGTGGATTTGCTGTTGCTTGTGATGCCTTGGCTATAGGTTTGTAGCAGTTGTTGTATTCTGTTGTATCACTTTCCTACCATGTAAAGTAGAATATAATGAAATCATGTAATGTGGGACATAAAGTTTTAAATCTTACTTCATATGAATTACATGACATCTTAGTGATGTGCTGCTAATATTTAAACAGCCCAAGGTGTAAGACTTTGTCCTGTTTTACCTGAAGATGTCATCAATGTCCATCCCCTGCTCATCATTTCTAGAAATATAGCAGAGATTCATATTTTAGGTGCCTCTCTCTGTAATCTACCAATGAGTGTTAAAGTATAGTGACACACTTGCTAGTTGCTATTTCGTGTGTAACGAAGATGGCTGAAATGCAAACACGGGTTTACTTTGTTAATTTATTTTCAGTATATAGAAGGTCATATAATGGATGCTTGTGCAGGTCAGCCGTCAACATTGAAATCCATAACAAAAATTCACTACACACTAAAAACCCTGTAAATGTGCATTTTATGTTGACTCCTCGTGTTCACTTTAAAGGCACCCACTGAAAATGTGCTGAAGTATTTGTTATTTGTGAGGGTGTAAACTAGACCATTTAAAGAATATACATATTTTCCTATGTTCCAGTTTCAGTGAAAAATACAGAAAAATGAAAATGTTTAGTGTTGCCTTGCTCCCTGCACGTACCCTGTGATCTTCTGTTACAGAAGTCAGTGAAGAGATGTCTCGTGTGTGTGTGATGATGGTAGAAAACATTGACCAGCCTTGTCGAGACCTGGCAGCTCAAGCCCGCGACTCACCACTGCTTCCCTGTGGGGATGACAGTTTGGAGCAGGTTACCGTGAAGCAGGAGAAGCCGGAAGAGGACAGAAATGGTTCAGCCTGCTGTTTAGATTCCATCAAAGTGGAGGATTTTAGCCCCGAGTGTATGTCAGCAGTCCAGTCCAAAATGCTAGAGGAGTGGAAACCAGAATTGCTGGATATTTTGAGCCAAGACTCAAACAGTCCTCTGTCCTCCACCATGTTGGCTCACGGTAAGAAGGGAAACCATGGGTGAAAGAAACAAAATGCCCATTTTATACCATCAGACTCAGCAGCCTTAACCAGACTGGGGTTAATTATAATTCTTTTAACTACATTTGAAATATGAAATAAAAGATATGCATGCTATTGTTGAATTGTGTTAAATGTCCATCCAAACCAATTCAGACCATATGTAATCAGCCACTTTGTGTCATGTGTGACAGTCAAACGTCATGTGTTCAAGTGCTGGCGCCACAGTTCTGCAAATTTCTCTTTCAAATTAGACTGCAATGTATTCTCATAACATTTTGAATGCTGTCATGCTCAAATCATTTAAAAAAATACGCTTTAGATATATTGAGTGTCAATATATTTGCTGTTTATTCTTGTCTTCATGTTAAAGATTTTCTGCCTAGAAAAAATTGGGATCTACATCATCCGTTTTAATGAAATTATAGGGTAACTTTATATATTTTGAAATTTCAACCTGGACCTCATTTCCCCTTTTTTCTTTTTTTTTTTTTTGGTGTTGTGTCGGTACAACAAGTTTTGATTTTGGGTTAGTATTGCGTGAGAGCGCTGCACCCAGGGGCCACAAAACGGGCTACAACGTAATCCTTATGGGAAATAATTCGGTCGTGTTGTCACACACTTATAATAACAATCTGAGCCAATCACTAGCAAAAAAAAAAAGCTTTTTTAATGGACACAGTTTGACGGTGTGCAATTGTCACAAGGCTTCCATTGTAGACTTACATTATAGTCACTCAATACTAGATTAAATTCAAAATTTGTTGTCCCCCACAAGTTACTTTGACACAGTTACATGGGAAAATAAGGTCCAGGTTGGAAAACACCAAAGTTACCCTTTAAGATGAAAAAGTTTTCAAATTTTCCTTCACATCCACACGGGATTTTGACGTGACTTTTTTTTTTCTTTTCTACAGCTCATCCTCCAAACCTGACCACCGACCTCCCTCCACCCACAGATCTGCCGTCCATCTCCTCAGAGTTCCCGAACATCTTCCAGCTGGAAGAACCAGCTCCCATCTCAGAAGCCCCTCCACAGGTTTATGGAGTCCATGTACGGCCCAGCCGCAACCTCCTCTACACCTGCAAGTCCTGTGGTCAGACGTTCCAGCTGCCCAGCCTGCTGCGGCGGCACTACGGACAGTGCCAGCAGAAGCTCCAGCAGTGTTGTCAGCAGCAGGTAGAGGGAAGCAGGAGGACCAGACTGCAGCTGTTCCCGCCGGGATGCAGCCCGTTCCGCTGCACGGTCTGCAACCGAGAGTTCAACCGCATGGAGAACCTCAAGACTCACCTTCGCATCC